CTGTATGCAGACTGATAGTTCCTTGTCTCTCACGCAAATGCACTCCGACTTCGAAGGATGTCCCCAATTAGTCGACTCCTACGACATGCTTGTTAAGGAGGCAGTGGATCTATTCTTGTTTTCCTCACAATGGGACTCATTGGTGTGTGTGTGTGTGTGTGTGTGTGTATATACAGCACCAGGTGATTAATAGGTGCCGTGGTAACAATTCGGATGACCACCTTTACTTTCCATGAAATTACCTGGTACCCATTTTAGGCTTGATCCATCTGGAAGCCAAGGCCAGTTTTTTTGTTGAAGAAAAAATCTGCAACGATGTGGGTTTGAACCCTAGTCATTTGGATCAAAAGGCAAGCATGCAGACCCACAACTGCCCCCACCCCACCCACCCACCACCCCAGGATAACACTACTCATTGTTATTTTCAGATAGAGAGAACAAAATTAGTTATTGTTTTATCTCGTGTGGGTTCCAGGGACCCAGTTTGGGGTAAACAAGAAAAGACTAACTGCCCTTTAACAAGTAAAAGTGGACTAATTAAGGGTGTATCCTTCCAAGTCGTATTGCATCTGCCTGAGAAATATGGAACCAGCAGTCTGCATACAAATATGTCAGATGTATAAAACGGATGTGCACGCAAAACTCAGATTGCAACAAGACTCAAGACCAGAAGTGGACTATGGACCAAAAGTTTCCGTCACAGTCCACAGCCGTGAAAGCGAAGAAGAAAGAGTATTGTTGTTGATAAAATACATTTCATTTCTAGCTTTCTTGCAAATTTGATTAATGTTCTTTCAACCCAGTACCTCAATGTTTGCTTCTCTCTCATTGAACCACAGCATTCTCATCATCTGTCAAGGTCACTCATTAAAACCATGAGGATAAGACAGTAAAATTTGTGGTAACAAAAGAAGTACATTAGCCTGCGCGATTTCCACCTTTTCAATTATCTTTGCGCAAATGCAACTAGCAATTTTTTTTTTTTAAATAAAACTTTTCTTGTCCTCCTACTTCAAAAATATATTTCAGCATTTAGGAAATCAGAAGTTGATATTTTAATTTAAAAGAAATTTAATGGCGAAGGAATGAAGGAGAAAGTAAGATATTTTCTAAGGACATACTCTGTGTGGTTTCTGAAATATTTGGTTTTCACATAGGCTAAGCCAGTGTGGTGAAACTGAGTAGCTAGCTTTCTGTTCTCCTATATTTCGATTACCAGAATAGTCAAACTATCTTTGGCATCAAGTCTATGAGACTGTAAGCTCAAAGTTGCAAGCAAAAGTATTGAACCCATTTCCACAGTCTGCTTGCTCCATACTTATTTAACCCAGTCAGTACTCAGTGGATGACTTTATCAATAACAGCACCCTTCCTTTACTTCCCAGAAATTTCCTTGTACTTATTGTAGAGTGTGAATATGTCACTCTGAGAACCAGATCAAGGGTATATCCCACCTCAGTGAGACTTTTTATCACATGGCAACCTGGCAGGCAGGATAGTGCACCAACGACTGTCTGTGGCTCTAAGTTTATAGGCAGACATAAAGTAACATTTAAGATGTAGTGAACTCAACAATTTCCTCTTTCAGTTCCAACATTTGTAGTGTGTGATGGAATCACACATTCGCTCACTGGTAGTCACAGCCAGTGAATAATGTGTTCTCTTGTATTTGGAATGTGGTTAGAGCAGTATAAATAATCTGGCTACTCATGTGGATACAATTGCATGTTAACCTCTGTTTAACACTCATAGCTGTTTCTCATTTGGGCATTTGCTGTTAACTCTTTGGTACTGTTTACTCGTATGGTACTGTCAGCTTTTCTGGTACTGTCAACTCATTCAGTAACGCTATTCATTCTGACCTAACACTTTGAAGTTCATTCTGACCTAACAGTTTGACGTTCATTCTGACCTAACACTTTGACGTTCATTCTGACCTAACACTTTGACGTCTTACGAATAACCATAGATTATCTAGATTAACTGTCTGTTGCGACAGGATGAAAGTTTTTCCGAGCGCCTGGTTGGCCTGTCAGAAATGTTCCCAGAAGGTGTCTGTAAGACATGCACCCAAGCTGGTGGTGTTCTAGGCAGTGTGTCCAAGTCTGCCTTTTGGTTCTTGCGGACCGCACTGTGGATTGTCAGTTCATCAGCTGTCATTCTGATCCTGCCTGTGGTGTTTGAATCTGAACGGGCTCAGCAGCACGAGGCTCAGCTGCAGCAGCAGAGGCAGGTAGGGACAGTAGAACACGGCCAGATAACATCACTAATGTACACTGTACTACATGTAACTTTGTAACCGTTCTGTGGTGCCCTAGTATAACTGTGCTATATGGCTAGATGATTGAACGGGGTTTCTGAGATTTGTGCCTGTTTGATTTTCACCCTTGAGATGTTGATTCTACAGAATATAATTCTCGATAGGTGACAAAGAAGGGGGAAAAAATTGGGGGGGGGGGGGAGACAGATGTGTTGCTTTTGATGTGTTATAAAATTGATGTATGTTCGTCATTTTTTTTTAATGTTAAGAGGCCTCACATAAAAAAGTTTAATTAAACTTGATTGATATTCAAAAACATAGTACTAGAAAAGGAGGCTTAGGGTCTTTTACACCTTGCAGCCCTCCCCGTCCTCACCCCCCCCCCCTTCCCGCTTTTGTTATTCGCCCATTAAATGTATAGGGGCCAAACCCCTCCCCCCCCCCCCCCCCCCCCCCACTCCTTCCACCCCTCAATCCATGTATTGAGATGATCTATTCTGTAAGTTCAGTATTCAAATATTTTATTTTGTTTCATGTATATTATTATATTTATTAACCATTCCACACAGAGATTGTCTTTATTATTATTATCGTATGCATATCTCTAATGATTGTTTATTTTCAGTTTTCATATAATGATTTTCATCAGTTTTTTTTTTTTATTTATTTCAGATTTTGCTGGGGCCTAACGCTGCAGTGTCGGGGCAAGCTGGTGGGGGAAATCTGTTGCCAGGGATGGTCATGGTGCCACAGAGGCAGTAGTGGAGTGTTATCCTTTCCAGCATGGATATTGTGGATACATTTTAAAGTCTGTTTTAGGCTGTATCATCAAGCACTCTGCAAGTTACATAGTTCATAATCCATTTAGGAAAGTTGAATATTTGAAACACAGTTGAAATAACGAATTAGATGTTTTCATGCGTTATATGTTTTGTTTGAAAAGTTAACTCTTTCAGTACCAAGTGGATGCTCTATTCTAAGAAGTTGTTGCTTTCTTATTATTGTCTATGCCATGTGGTACTGGTAGTCATGTGTATCCACAACCTTCAGCCTCTTGTACTTTCAGTCGGTTCTGACACAGATGATCCTCCGTGCCATGTGGTATTGGTAATCATGTGTATCCACAACCTTCAGCCTCTTGTACTTTCAGTCGGTGCTGACACAGATGATCCTCCGTGCCATGATGTCAAACTGTCCAGCAAATTTTTCCTTTGTCTCCCTCTGCTTCTTTTTCCCTCCAGCTTTCTCACAATAGCAATGTACACTAGTTTTCTCCTTTTCATCACATGTCCAAAGAATGTATAGTGTCTCTTTCTGATGTGGCCAATCAGTTCTCTTCGTGCATCAGTTTCTTTCAAGAAATCTTCATTTCTGGTTTATCTTTCCAAGGAATTGTTATCATTCATCTATAAAGCTATCTCCACCGCTTTCACATAATTTGTCACCACATCATCCAACTGTCCATGATTCACTTTCAGATATCAAGATATAATTTATAAAACTCTTCAGATTTCTCTTGCTCGTCTTAATGGACAAAAAAAGATTGTATAGAAAATTCTTTAGTTGTTACTTTAACTGATAAATAATGGAGTCTAAAGTAGTCAAAATAATAATAACATGAGACATAAGTTCAAATGATAGGACAGAATTAAAGTATAACTTGATTGGGAACTGAAGTTTTTTTTAAATAGTGTGTGATGTAACCAGGGCCAACAACGGCCTGTTGAATTGTTTGGTACCGAAAAAGCTAATAGTAAATTAGTGCCTTGTAAACATTTCAATGATATTACACTTGAGAAGCTTTGTCATCAGCTTCAGTCTTCTACAATACATGACTAGTTGTGCTTCGGCGTAAAAAATATGTTGTCATCAGATGTATTCAAAATGCCCAAATGTTGAAATCAATAAACACTAAAATCTAGCTTCTTGTGTTTTTTAAATGTTTTTTCTTCTTTATGTTGATGTTAACTCTCAGGTAGTTCTACGTGTATTTCTTGGTTACTCTATACCAGAGTTTTTCAACCTTTTGTGATATTGATTCTTAATTCAACATTCAATTTAAACATTTTTTGCGCTCTTTAGGGGTCGTCCGTAAATCAGGAAGGGGATAGCGATTGAGAAGAAAATAACTACAGACTGATCAGAGGTGGGCGTTTTAGAAGAAGCATATAAAATACCTGTGACGGCAAAAGTGATCCTCTAATCGCATGTTCTAATTGTGGAGGACGTTGTTTTTTTTTTACGTGAACGGGTTCTGCTAGTCATACTTGCTTTCGTCATGGGTTGTTACTCTCATGTTTCTTCACACGGTCGTCTGAAAAATTTCTTCATTATCCTCTTGTGTCATTATACATCACACAACGCTCACACTCTGTTTCTCCATTTAGCTGTGCAATCGCTTCAGTATCAAAGACGGAATCCAATCCAGCTTTTTTGGCTTCTCTCGTCAAATTTCTTCTTAGGGTTTCTCTTGGACGTACTCGTCTCCTCAATCCCTCTATTTCCTTTTTCAGTGCATGTCTGGTGATCCTCTGTTTTTTCATCTCTTTTCAGAATGGTGTCCAATACAGTGTCATCTTCTCTGTCTTATAAATGTTGATACTAGTGGTTTCCCAGTGTCATCTTCTCTGTCTTATAAATGTTGATACTAGTGGTTTCCCAGTCATTTCTCTTATTTCTTACTTTTCTTGACATCTGGGAAAATGCCAATATAAAAAAACTTCAACAAAAAATCATTGAGCTATCTGACCACTGCATGGATTGTCGGACTTCTCGACGCGGGGCGCAGACAACTGCCTCCGCTTTCTGCGGGACTGGTTACTGGCAAGTCTCTGAACATGGTCGCAAGCAGCAGCCCAAAGATGCTCAACGTCAGCCCAGCCACTGCCACAGCAAATGACCAGCCAGGAGTTTCAGCGTCTTGACCTGGGAGTCTCTCAGCCTTGTTCTTGATCTCACCGGCGAACATAATCATACCCTGCAGCGCCATCACGTCTGCGGAGACATGTAAATGAAAAGTTAATGACGTTTTCCCCACGCCTTCAGACGTGTTAGACACATAGAGATGGACCCATATTTTACAGACTAATAAGCACTAGGTGGGTGATGTGCTCAGTATCACCCCAGCCAACTTTACTTCACAAGACTTTTCCTGGTACCCATTTAAGGCTGAGCTGACCGAGGAGCCAAGGTCATTTTGGAAAGAAGAAAAAGTCTGGCTCTGTTCAGATTTGAACTCACGATCTTCGAATCTGCAGGCAAGCGTCTAGCCGCTACATATGGCGGCTCCTGGAGGGACATGTACAGGCAAGTATTTATGAGATTTTGAAGCCCCGCCCTGGCTTTTGCCCGGGAACTTGAATATAGCCGGGCCATAAATATGGCCATAATGGCTGAAAGGGGTTTCTGCGACCTCTCCACGGGTAATCCTCATCCGCATGGTGGCACTTTGTGTCACTGGGTGTTTATCGCTTGTGTGATATCCTGATGGGGTACAACAAGAGAGGGGGGGAGAGAGAGGGGGAGAGAGAGAGAGAGAGAGAGAGAGAGAGAGAGAGAGAGAGCGGTTTCTGAAATTTCAAACAAAATAAGTATAGACGAAAAACAACATATATTATGTGAACAGTTTTATCAGAAGCCATCTTAGTAATGAAGGTTGACTGCCAGATTGCTGTGTTCGTCTAATGTAAGCCTGCCACTTGGTCGTCCAGGTAAGCAGACTGCTTTAATTATGCTACCGCAACGAGTTCATATCTCACAGTACCATTTTACAAAGTCACCAATTCTTCTTGTCCCTGTCCGATAATATCCGTTAATACGTGCAGCAGGGTAAACTAAATCTGAGCCTCATGAACTCAGGTGGGCCCACTCTTTGAAAATGTCTAGGAGCTCGTGGGCCGAAACATTTGTCGACAATTGGTAGACTCCTGCTGTACTTGCTTCCCTGTGGAGTTTCTTCTGGTTCCTTTAATTTATTTATGATGCTAGATATCCAACTATTGGTATGTTGACTTACTTGCAATAGCAGCAAACATTTCAACAATCCTGTTCTGTGCAATTAAGTTTCTGAACCGCTTGAGAGGCATACACTGTATAACTTCTAAGAATAATCCGGCAGCGTACAGAAGCAGGGCCAAACACATCAAAAACTGGATATACCTGACTGCTGCCTCATCTGGGGAAATATACCCAATGTTTTTTTATTCTGACCCATGTGCACTCCTTGCGTGATTATGAAATAAGTGTATCTTAAACAATGTATTCCGAGACTTTATCTAATTTTATGTTTGGTCTGAAAATTCTAAAATATCTGGCTAGATTCCTGTATATTGCGCTTGTTTTGTGTAATGCCGGGTTCGATCCCAACTGCGAGCCATGCGCCTTGCGTTGGTTTCGACAGTGTTATCAAAGAGGCTGAGCGTCCATAAAGCAATGGCAAACTACTGGAGGTAAATTTGCCTAGAAAAACCATACAACAGCCAGGGGCTGTTGAGGTTGGTTCTGCGACGTCCTGAAAAGGATACGCAACAAACTTTTTGTGTAATACGCAGACAATGTATTGATTGGCACTCATGGAAACGAGTCGAAAGATCAAAGAGATTGTTTTAGGCGTATTTTCTTTGAAATTACTGGCTACTTCACCTGCGGATCGGAAGGATCGGGTCCTGTTACCGGGCTTTCTTCAAAAATGACCTTGACTCCGAGGTCGACCCAGCCGAGTGGAAACCAAGTGCAGTCCTGTGAAGTAAAGGCGGCCAGCGTGACGTTGACCATATTGCCCATCAAGTGCTGATTCGTCTATAAAATATACGTCTAGCCCTATATGCCCAATACGACTGAATCCGCAGGAAATGAGTTCCTAATTTATTTTTTATTGGCTATGTGTGCACATGTTATGAAATCTAGCATCGTTAAAAGAAATAAAATTAAGCCGACATGATGGAATTGTTATTCTTATTGGAAGACAGAAAGAGGAAGGCCAAAGAGAAGATGGGTTCAGGATGTGGCGGATGATCTCCAGATGGGTGTATCAGACGCGGGGCATCTTACTTGTGATCGAGACGTTTTCCAGAAGATTGTTATGGGAACAAGGTTCTTCAAAGGACAGGCTACTGGCTGACTGACTGACTGACTGACTGGCTGACTGACTGACTGACTGAGTAGTAATACTATTACTATTACAACTTTGAATTATGAGTTTTGTTGACGGTAAGCATAGTTGCACAGCACATATAGCCACTCTTTTGTGCGTGCGTGCGTGCATGCGTGCGTGTGTGTATGTGTGTGTGTATCAAGTGTCTATTTTTTTAATGACTATATGATTTTACTTCACTTTCTATTGAGCATGTCTGTTGCCAGTGTGGCATTCACCCCGTCTCTCGTCGTAACATTTTAGAGCAGTTTTTTTGCCAGTTAGCTCGTTCCTTTAGCCGTGATGATTGGAGAGATTGATCAGCAGTACAAGAGACAGATCCTGTCGGGCAGATATGCCGGGGACTCGAAGACAATGAATGGGAAGAATTTCAATGCAATGGATTCAGATCACCAGGAAATCGAGATCAGCAAAAGATATGAATGTCTAGGCCAGTGATTCCCCAAAAATGTGCGCCGCGGCGCCCCGGGTAGCGGCGACTTCTTTCACAGGGGCGCCTCAAAATATTCAAAGATGCACGAGTTTTATTTGTTTTGATCTCTTACATACGAATAGTCATACTTTTACTTAGGTTAGGGCGCCGTGGACAAGTTTTAATTGAAAAAAAAAGTGCCGCGACTAAGAAAAGCTTTGGAAACACTGTTCTAGGCCAATTTTTTTGGCAGGCAGACGATGATGATAATAAAACAATTTTAAAGTTGCATCTGCGTCTCGAAACCTTGCATAGTTCTCTTCTCTCTCCCTCTCTCTCCCTTCACCTCTCTCCTTATCTCTCTCTCCCACTCCCCCCCCTCTCTCTCTTGTTTTCTTTATTAATGAGGGCTTCTCCCAATGATGGTCAGCATTTGTTTCAGCACTTGTGTGATAGACACTTTGTGGCCATTATCGGCACTTTTTTAGACATTTTGTGAGTGCGGGCACATTTTAGACATTTGTCGTGAGTGCAGGCACACTTTCTAGACATTTGTTGTGAGTGCGGGCACTTTTAAGACATTTGTCGTAAGTGCCGGCACTTTCTAGGCATTTGTTGTGAGTGCCGGCACTTTTTAGACATTTGTTGTGAGTGCCGGCACTTTTTAGACATTTGTTGTGAGGGCCGTCACTTTTTAGACATTTGTCGTGAGTGCCGTCACTTTTTAGACATTTGTCGTGAGTGCCGGCACTTTCTAGACATTTATTGTGAGTGCCGGCACTTTTTAGACATTTGTTGTGAGTGCCGGCACATTTTAGACATTTGTCGTGAGTGCGGGTCCTTGTGTACAATAAAAATGGCTCTGTTTGTTGTTGTTGTTATTATTATCATATTTATTATTATAGTACTACTGCTGTTGCTGTTGTGCTACTACTACCAAAACTGCTTAAATTAATAATAGAAAAATATTTTAACATCTCATATTGACACTTAAAAAGACGCTTACTGATGAAATTAAGGTTGTCCAACAAACTGCCACAATCCATGCTGGCAACTACAGAAACTTCACTCCGTATCTTTAGTTTCTGTATATCAACTGTTGGCCTGACCACCCAGTAGGCGGTTGCAATAGATATAGTAAAACAAATGATACCGGACAGTAATAAAATTTGCCCAAGTCGCAAAAGAACTTTGCTGGTACGTCTCCTGCAACTGTTTGTCATTTTGTTCAAGCACCGCCTACCTGTTTCATAAAAAATAAAATACACGAATTTATTACATTTGTAAACAAACGCAATAGAAATAAAATTGCCTCGTAAAAAGGCAATTTTCCCTATTTTAAATAATGGAAATTAAATTAATCTGTTCCACGGTCTAAGAAACTGAAATGTAACATGTGTTTTCCTAAATATAGATCCTTATAAATGTAGTAACACGTGACGATCAAATTTGAACTGAGAGGCAAGGAACCAAAGGGAGTCGCCGTGGCCGAGCGGCTAGACGTTCGCCGCGGATCGGAAGGTCGTGGGTTTGCTCTCTGGTGGAGCCGAACTTTTTTCAAAAATGACCTTGACCCCCAAGTCGACCCAGCCTTCAGTGGGTACCGAGTGCAGACCCGGGAAGTAAAGGCGGCTGGTGTGATACTGACCACATATTCCATCTTGTGCCGATTTGTCTATAAAATATAGATCTAGCCCTATATGCCCTATACGCCTAAAGGCGTGGAAAAGGGATCCTTTACTTTCTTACTTTACAATGTTCAGTAATATTATCATTGAATAAGTTAATACATCTGATAACTAGGACTCAGTCAGGGTGCCCTTTAACAACTTTTTTGTATTCCCGACCGCACGATCAAAAAATCTTGGATTTCAGCAGTGCTAATCCTTCTAGCTTGTCCCTCTTCTTTTCCGGAAGAAATTTCTTCTGTAATATCTTCCTTCTGCTGATGGTAATTTGCTAAAGCTACTGCGTTGTCACCCCAGTCGTGTAAACGTGCCAGGCGTTCGGTTTCCAAGGTGGCATTCGAGTTCCGAGTCAAAATTTACTTAAAAACTTTATTCGGATTCCAAGTTGTTCAAGTTTTGAAGTGTTCGAATTTTGAGGTACCGCTTTATGCATGTATATGTATGTATGTGTGTGTGTGTGTGTGTGTGTGAGAGAGAGAGAGAGAGAGAGAGAGAGAGAGAGAGAGAGAGAGAGAGAGAGAGACTTCAGACCAAAATGGCCAAAAGACATCTAACGTTCAACCAGCACAGAAACGGGGCAGTTATGAGATTATGCCAAGGCTGTTTTCAATATTGAAGACGGCTTTGGTTATATCAGAACCTCGACTAACACACACACAAATATATCTGTAGAAAGTTGCACGCTTTCAGACACATTAAGAATATAAGGTTGGACCTATATTTTATGGACCAATTAACTTAGCAATTAACACAGCATCCCGCCGGCCGCCTGTACTTTCCAGACTGTACCTGGTACCCACCCAAGGCTGGGTCGACCTGGGAGCTAAGGTGATTTCTGAAAAAGTTCGGCTTTGTCAAGACCCAAACCCACGACCTTTCAATTGTCCACATCAAGCGGCTGGTTCCAGTAATCACCACAAAGTGTCTATAGCAGTAGCGTTTTTAAAATGACTAACAAAGGTGTCAGTACTGTCCACCACTGCATACAGCAAAGGAGCGGGGGGAGGGGTGAGACAGATCCACTTCCTCTAATACACATATTGTAAAAGTCTGCTAACTAGGAGTGCTTCCAAGTCTGCGAATTTTCTGACTAACAGGCGAATAACCAACAATCTGCATACAAGTATGCCAGCTATGAAGAATGAATGTGCACGTAAATCTCAAGTTCTGAAACAAGACGGTCGAAAATAACCAGACCTTAACGCCAGTAAATGCTAGAAAGAAGAAGAACCCGTGGTGCCATTTGTATGTAGATTGTTTTCCCCCACGGCCAACATTTAATTTTCATGCGGTGTGCCATAGTCCATTGATTGGCCACAGGGAATTCTAGCAGATAGACACTTATATGTTCTCTTACTAATCACGGGACGGTGTATGATGGGTAGTTTTTCTCTGTTGGGATTGCAATCTGTATGATCAACACGTCAGTGATAAGAATTAAAAGTGACGAACCCGCTAATTTTGTGGCAGTGAATGTACCAAATAAACCTCTAACTCATGTTTATTTCTGTGTTTGGTTAGCTGTCAGGTAGGCCGTGAAACAACTTCCGCTGTTTAGGCGGGGCGCAGGTGTAAATTGGTTTAGGAACAGTGGTCGGCAACTCATTTGTCAAAAGAGCAAAGATTACCAGCAGGACGATTTAAAAAGTTTTTGAGAGCCAAATTTCTTTTTATTTAAGAACCATATTTTTCAGAGTTAAACCCGATTTGTGGCCGACTGGCCGGGTCTCGCTAAGGTAGCTAAAGAGCCGCGATTTTCCGACCACTGCTTTAGATCGGGAGCTGGTGGGTAATTTATTAGTCTTGCTGCCTTTACTCTCGATATTACTTGGAGCCTGTTGTAGGATCGATCTGCTGGACAGCCCAGACAATTGAATTATAACTTTTAGTTCTGGGGGAATGCGCGAGTGCCACATATAAAAGTGAGACATGGACAGTATAAAGACAAGCTGGGAAACATTTACTCGTAACATAGATGTGTTTTTTTAGAAGAACGCCCAGAATATCACGGAAAGAGAGAAAAACAAATAAAACAGTCCTCCTCGAAAAGGTGAAATCGTACCAGTAAAGGACCCTGCCCACACCTTCAGCGCATTGGGCATATAGGGCTAGACCTATATTTTATAGGTGGGTGATGTGGTTGACATCATTCCGGCAGCCTTTACTTCCCATGACTTTAGCTGGTACCCACTTGAGCTAGAAGCCAAGGTCATTTTTTTAAAACTCCAGCTTTGTTCGTATTTGAGCCCACGACCTTCAGATCCACAAGAGAGCTCTTAGTAACTACACCACAGTGGTTACCATGAAAGTAGTGAACTGATTAGAAAAATCAGTCATAGACAGTCGCTGTTTTTTTCCAGACATGTTATGAGAAGGCAATTAACTCCAGAAGTTGGAATCAAGTGGCAAGACTGATGGAGAGAGAGCCAAAGGAAGGCATACATAAATACTTGGATGGCTTGGCCAAATAGATGGGGTGAGACAAGAACACTGACCCGATCCATAATTCTGTTGATAGGTACAGCTCATGATGATGATGATGATGATGATGAGACTTTTACCTCAGATACCTGAGGGGATCAATGACCATAATGAAAAGTCGTTAATGCGTAGCTTTCAAATGGGTACATTCGGCAGCAGAAGTAGCCAGTGGGAAGCCAGATTTCTTTAGCATACTCTAACCAATAGCAACATTTAAATGAGTCAGACCTGTGAAACAGATGTAAACGCAACACTCAGATTCTGGAAAGGACTAGAGTTTTGAAGTGGACAAACAACCAGAACTTTCCACAGGAGTTTACAGCCAGTGAATGCGAAGAAGAAGAAGAAGAAGAAGAAGAAGAAGAAGAAGAAGAAGAAGAAACACACACACCCACTTTAAATATGTTTTTTAAATACATTTTTTTTTAAATTGCATAACATAATTATTGTACTAAGAAAAGACAAATAATTTCTCATAAATTTATTGGACACAAGAGATTTTTTTTTTTTTCAAAATTCAGTTTTCAAAATTGTAAACAACTGAACCCAATGGCTAATTTTGAAGTCAAAGTTCAGAAAAGCAAACAAGAGTGAACATAATAACAAACTTATAATAATAAATATTCATGCAAACTTGTTATTTAAAAGACTCATCACATTATTAATGCACTAAAAAGACAAAAATAATTTATCATATAGTTTAACAAACATTCAAGTGTGAATGAGCCTCTTAACTCTTTGAGTCCCAAGGAACGCATCATTCGTTCATAGGTTCCTACCTAGAAGCCCAATGAACACATGATGCTCCGTTTTTGTTACTTTTCTTACTACCCCCTGGGCCTGTGATGCTTAACCCCCTGGGACTCAACGAGTTAATATAATTTATCAACAATTTTAAATTATGTTAAATAAAAACATGAGGCGCCTTTGAAAGTAATAAACAGATAATTACATAGTATTTATAAAATAGTATCTTAATCAAATGTAAACAGACAATGGCTTATATTTTTAACAAGTCAAGTCGAATATGTAGTTAGTTAGGCACAGAACGCTTTCATTAGTCGTTATTATGAGTTTAGATAGTAACCTAAAGTCTGGACATGCTCTGGGATGAAAAAAGCAAAAAATTACAAAACAAGCACTAAAATGGGAAACAAATCGTCCAAGGGAAACATTACTACGAGAGGCTAAAAATGCTCAGCTGAACTCCATGTTAGAAACTGAGAGAGTTGCATGCAACAGAACAGAGTGGAGGAGTCAACAGAACAGAGTGGAGGAGTCAACAGAACAGAGTGGAGGAGTCAACAGAACAGAGTGGAGGAGTCAACAGAACAGAGTGGAGGAGTCAACAGAACAAAGTGGAGGAGTCAACAGAACAGAATGGAGGAGTCAAATGCGAGCCCTATGCGACATCTAATGAAGGATGATGATGAAAGTCTGGACCAGTCATTGATTAGAATAGAAGCGAGTAACATTGTTACGGTTCAAAGAATTAACACCTCAGGGATGATAATCAAAGTGGAGGAAATCCCAAAAACCCCAATCCTTTCCTGAAGCAGTTATATTAGAGCACCCCAAATGTTACAAGGTAACCTACAGTTCAATGTGGGAGAGGGACATTTTTGTAACAGAGTACAGACAAGTGTGTGCGTGTAGTTTAACCTCTCCATGCTGCTACATTAAAAGTTTACAAGCAGAAATCAGATGATGTGGATGGCAGAGCGACAAGACCTTAAGATTTGACTCTACAAGACTAAAAAATCTTGCAGCTGGTGGCAAAACAACAGGACCTCAACTCTTTGAGTCCCAGAGGTTTAGCATCACAGGCCCAGGGGGTAGTAATGAAAGTAATAAAATCAGCGCATCATGCGTTCATTGGGCTTCTAGGTAGGAACCTATGAATGTATGATGCGTTCCTTGGGACTTAAAGAGTTAAGATTTGACTATGCAAGACTAAAAAGTCTTGCAGCTGGTGGCAAAACAAAAGGACCTTAAGATTTGACAATGCAAGATTAAAAAGTCTTGATGCTGGTGGCAAAACAACAGGAAAAAGC